TTTGAAGGCTCTGATTAGGACTTTAGTTCTTGGCCTTTTCTTGCTGTCATATAGACTATAGTCTGTTGTCCCCTGTGGTTCCAAAGAGATGGAGGATCTTGGTTGTCCTGCATCTCTTAATATCTTTGATGAGGTACCTGCTTCAGCCCTCAGAGTTAAAAGCCACTCTGCCCTCCGCCAAGTGTTAGAAAATAAAACAGTGGGATAGTAGTATGAAACTGGCTGTGAGTCCTTCATTTTCAATATTCAGTATTAAAAAAAACTGGTTTTTGCCCTTGCATCTCCAAACATCTTAAATGTGTGATGCCTTAGTTTACTGAAGTAAAGGAGAGGCAGTTCAGACCAGCACCTGAAGGCTTTCCATTGGAGTTCACCTGATTAGCAAACCATTGAAGCTTCTTAGAGTGCTGCATGATCATGGCTTGAATGAACTCTCTGGACTTTCTGTCTTGCTAAGAGAGGCTGGAGTGATATCCATCATAAATGTAAATTTTTTCCAAAGGACTGGAGTGCATGTCAAAAAGAGGCGTAACAGGATGAACATGTTCCTATTTCAGCTTTAACTTTGACTCTTGTTCAGTTTGAGGTGAAAATTAGCTTGTGGCATGCAGAGAGATGGAGTGGTGTATGCTGGCTGAGAAGATGTGTTTGTATCACATTATCTGGGGATTGATGAGGTAGGGAGTTAAGTGGAACAAGGAGACAATTCCTACTTTTTCTTCTCTCTGAAGGTAGAGGTGTGCTGGAAGGATAGGAGTCCAGGAGAGGTTGGACTTTAGGAAGCAGCTCTGGAGAGGTGAAGTTAAGTTCTACATCCTTAGAACTTGACTCCCTTTGCTGTTGAGTATTTGGTAACGTCATCATATAATTAGATTGGTATATATGGCTACCAGTTATTGAGTACTAATTTGTGCTAGGGACAGTACTATGTTGGACTCATCATTTATTCAGTCATGAGTTAATACATTTAAAGTACACAGACTAGTGCCTTGTACAGAGTACTCAGTAAACAATAGTGATTATTATTCACTCAACAGGTATTTATCAAACATTTGCTTATGTGACAAAGCTTAGATGCACAAGACAAAAGGTGAATGATATAAAATCCCAGCTCCTGTGGCACTTCCCTTCTAGTAGTGGGAGAAGACAATAAGTAAGGTAATAAGAATCAGAGAGTGAAATGTGCTAGGAAGAAATGAAATGATGTGCTGGACCCAAGTGAGATGGTGCTGTAGGGTGGTTGGCCAAAGAGCACCTCTCAGCATTCTGAGACCTATCTGGTATGAAGGAGCCATTTATTCTTCACTGTGACCCTTTGATTTTCCCAGTTTTCAGGTGAGAAAATTGAGGGATAGGTGATTAAGGATGTGCTGGGGGATCAGATAGAGACGAGCTGTACACACGCAGTCATCTATCTGTATGCAGTGCATGTCCTGCCCTTTTTCAGAAGGGGTAAGATTATCCTGGGCAGCTCTAGGAGCTGCAGTATATGCAAATGGGTTATGAGTGAGGAGAATGAACGTGGTTGAGGTGTAGGTAAAACCCTGATGCATTTCAGAAAAGTTACATGTAATTTCATAGACCCCACTCATTGGATGCAAAATTGGAGTATATGAGTTTGTGGTGCACATGTATAGTTCTTTCTGAATCCAAAGCTCTCCTCAGATTTTCAGAGATATTGGTGACCAAAAGAACTTATAGTGCTGCTGCTTTATTTTAGAATTTTCCTATAGTCTGTTTTATGAAAATAGGGCCTAGCTATTTTGATAGGGCAGAATTTTGATAGCATTGCAGTGGCCATTTGATAGCATCAATTTTGGCAGGTCGGTATGGGTGGGAAGTGGGCAGGAACTGGGCTGGAATCATCAGATGTCTGTCTTTGCCAAGCCTCTATTACTATGATGCCAGCTGTCAGGTATAGAGCTCTATTTTAATTATCTGCTTTTCTTTACACATGTTAATGAATGCCCATGTAGGTGCCCATTTGTGAAATAAGTAACTGTTTGAAAAAATAAAAAATAAATAAAGCTCCAACCTTGGGGCCTCGACTTTCAACCTGCAGGGAACGTATTTCCAATAAAGGCACACAAAAATGAGCGTTTCCTGTCACAGTTTTTAAAACCTGAATACTTTCTAAAAAGGCTCTTTAGTGCTTGAAACCAGAGAGAAATTGTTTCAGCAATAGTAATTGAAACCAAGAGGGTAGCCGAATTCTGGTTAGATCTAGCCTTTCAGGTTCGTAGGATGTGGTTTAGATCAAATACCTGTTTCAGCTGGAAGATTGATCATGTTGTTATTGCACAGAGAAAGACTTCCAGGAGCTCTTGCTTTACAGCTTTTCACGTGGTGTCTGAGTACTGAGAGGAGGTTCCTCCTTGGGAACATGAAGATGATAGAATGTGTGTATCTTTATTCTGATATAAACAGAATAAAGCAGCTGTAAGTGCTTTGTGGCCTGTCTGCTTGAAGGAGGCCTAAGGTTGTGAAAATTGCAACTGGAAAGGTTCTTTTGCTCATTAGTCGTATCAGCTTTTAAATGGCATCCTGGTGGTCCACCCAGTTGTAAATAGAATTTCATAGTTTGCTCAAGTTTCGGATTATTGGTCCTGGTGTTCAGCTAAGGGATGAAATTATAGTCTAGTAAATTGGTGCTGGATGATGAGTCAGAGGGCCTAGGCAGCAGATCTTTTTCTGCTCTGTGGGTAGAAGAGATCTGGGTGACATAGCAATGTGCTAGTGGGGGCTCTTTCTCTTGTGACCGAAAACCTGACATCTGGCTTATGCAAAAGAGGAATTCATTGGCTCGTTGTGGAGTTCAGGCTTTGATCTGACAAGGTAGTACAGTTGGATTCTAGGTGCAAATAATGCCTTCAAAACTCATTTTCTCTTTGTCTCTTGGCAGTGATTTCATTCTTGGGTCCTACATGCATCTGAAGTAAGATCCATAGGATAAGAAGGGACCATTTAATCCTCACAGTGACTCTTGGGTAGGCATTACTATTTTCTCGGGTGGCTCTCTCTGGCAGGAGGACTACAGCAGCTCCAACTTCCTATACTTCTAAGATTTACTTTGTCTGCTGAGGTCACCTGTATATCCCTGACCCAGTCAATGAAGCCAGGGGCATGTGAGGCTCAGGTGGCCCTGAGTCACATAGCCCATTTTGAGCCCCACCCAACTATGTGGCCAAGAGTTCAGGAGACGGATCTTCAGGTGACAACTGGGTAATCACCTGATGAAGAGTCCGAGTGCTGGGGAAGTTGGCAAGTCATTGTTGCACAAAGTAATACCCTTTGATCCAGTCTGAAGTTAGAAAGCCCATATAACAACTCTGTATCCAGCCTGTTAACCATTTCCAGGGGTCCCACAGTTCCATTTTGAATGAGCCTCTTTGAATGTGATTCTTCAGGTTCCGCCTGGTCTGCAGGCGAGATCCTTCTACCTTGATGCTAAATCTGTGGTAGAGGGACTGTCAGTCACTAGGCCTTAGGATGAGCGGTGGTGGCTCCTGCTTCTGCTATTACTGCTACTTTTTGATGGGGGTGGGACAGGTTAATTTCCTTTTGAAAGAATAATTGGGAAGATTTAGGTAAGATTAAAAAGTGTCCTATGATTAATCTTTTTCAACCCTCTTTCATCCCCCCATTATTTAACAATATATCTTGGAATTTTTGAAGCTAGAATCATTGGATCTGTGAGTCTTTTTGATGTGATTTACAATGAAGCAAGTGATCTTTCTTTCCATCCTCCTTTGGTGGTTAGATATTTTCCCTAAACACAGTGTTTTAATGTGCTTTTGGTAAGGATTTTTTGCAAGAAGTTGAATTACCTGGCAGATATCCCAAGATGATGTTGGGAGAAATACACACTCCCAGTACACTATACAAGTTGATAGTTCAGATTGGATTATATACATATACATTTTTTGTGTGTGTATCCTTTGATCTGTTGGTTCCACTTTGAGGGTTTTATTCTCAGGAAATTTTAAGTGTGCTGAATTTTAACTGCATGTTGTTTTTATCAGAGTAATGTTTATAATAGTGAAAACTATTCGAAGCAAGCTAAATGTCCTTCCAACAAGAGACAAAATTGACTTTAGTATGGTACCTCCATTCAGTGAAAAACTTACCTGAATATTAAATATGTTTCAACAGAGAATCCCAGCCTTTTGGCACATCCTCTGTAATGCAGCACCAAATTTTTGACAGATTGACTAGTAGTAAGCTATGAATAGTCTGTGTGTTACATGACATAACTAGTGTGTTTGCGGTGATACAAGTACTGTCATTGAATCGCTGCTCTTTTAAAAAGCATTTTATTAGAGGAGATTTATATGAAAAATATTCAGTGGAAAATATTGCAAAATAGAATGTACAATATGACCCCACTTTTGTTTGAAAGTTCCAAGTGCATAATGTAGACATGCACAGATTTTGTGTGTGCCATTCATATGTGCTCCTTTAAGAGACTAAAAGGATATACTCATACATTAATTATAAGCGGTGGGATACTAGGGGATTTTTTTATGCTTCTATTTTCTAAACTTTACAGAGTTAACTGCGTAATACTTTTGAATTTGGCAGCAGGAAAGAAAGCCTTAGTGGCCTTACTTCTCTGACCAGTTTACTGATGTGGTTGAAAACAGATATTCTTTTATTATACAGCTCTTTCTTTTCTCCCTCTTCCTCTTCCTGTCTGATATGCATTAGTAGTCAGCTTCCATCGTGGGCCTCTAGGAAAAAACTGATAAATGTGGCCTTAATGGATTTGGAATTTTTTTTTTAAGAATTAGCAAACATTTAAGAGATTGATGAGTTACCACATGATGAACCTGAGGCCTTCTTAGAGGAAATGTGGCTCTAGAAACCACATCTATACATTTGTGGTAATTCTGGTGCCCCTTTAAAACATTTGATGCAGTCATTTGTCACCTTTATATTGGGTTCCTTCCTCCTCTTTCGACTCCTTTCACAGTTTCCTTTCTTGCCTTTCTTTTACTTAGGGGCAAACACCAAAGCTTATCTCCAGTTAACTATTTTTCAGTCACATTGTGACTACTGAATTGCTCAGAAGGAGATTGAGAAGTGAACAGTTGATGTGGTAATTGGATGTTTGAGGACTAATCATCGACAGTCAGGTAAGCCTCTAGGGTGGCTGGTACTCATATGCCAACTGGAAGCCAGGAATCAGTGCCTCCTTCTCCCATGGTTTACCTTCAGCGGGGCCTAAAAGGCTGTATCTTAAGAAAGAAAACAAGCAATAAGCATAAAACCAGAGATGAACAATGCAGCCATTTTTATTCTGGTACCACGGAGCCCAGATCCAGGACAGCCCTCGGGTCTTAAACCAGGAAGGAAACTGAGAAAGCTGGAGCAAAAACACAAAGAATGTCAACCTGGAAATCTGGTGCCCCTTAATGATGTCTGCTTTGCACATGAGTGGATAGCCTGACTTGTCCCAATCAGTAGTGACAGGAAAAAAAGATGCTGAGTGTGGGTCAGTAAAATGATATGGCCCTTTTTTTGTCATGTGGGTTTAGACATGTAGCTCATTCCTGGAGCTCAGAGACCAAAAATGCTTCATTATTTGGTATTTGGAAACTTTATTGTACATGCACTGTGTTGGCTTAGTTGTGTTTGGCAATCAGTATTTGTTCTAGCCAGCCCACACTGGCCTCGTCCTCAGGCCTCCAGCTGGATATATATTCTTACTTCTAGTATATTTGAAGTGTGCAAGGTGAGGAACAGTAAGAACACTTTAAAAAGAAAATTATTCTGTGGAAAGCTGGCTGCTCTCAGTCATGTGATTTAAGAGTATTTTACAGAAATATAACTAGTTGGTTTATTTTCTTAAAAAAAACTTTTTCTCCCCATCCCCCTGCCCCCAAATCCTTCTTTTTCTTTTCTTTTGCACTTTTCAGATTTGTTGATGTAAAAAGTCATGTGTTCCTACCCAACCCTAACTGGAACTGCTGTCTTAGCTTGCTGCTGTAGTACATTTTAGGACAAAAAGTCTTTTAAAAGCATGAAAATAGCAGCAGACGGGGCTCGTTTGCTTTGGCAGAGGGAAAGGCTTTCCTTCCCAAGTAGCTCTGGGTAAAGAGACCTGATCTCCGAAGGTGATCTTATAAGGCCCAAGTTCCAAGTGACAGCAGGCGACTCTCTATTTCAGGCACCCCCTGAGTCTACCTCTTTGTTATTTCTGTAAGTTTACTTTCTAGGAAGTAGTTTACAAATGGCCACTGCCCATCTTCTATTTTTCTCTCAGGTCATTCAGCATCTCCAGCTGCCAGGTGAGATCGCAGGGCTCCTGTGGTCTTGTTGTGAGACCCCTGTGGGGGGAACCTCTCCCATCACAGTAAACCCCCCAGTGTCTAGAGAAAAGCCATAGGAGGAATTCCATGTACTTATGGTCTCTGGCCTTTGAGTGTCTGGCATATATAGTAAGAACTGGAAACTTGCACCCAGCTAGCTCTACAGACTGGATGGAAGTTGGAAAGAGGTCTTTTACTGCCACTAGATAGAAACACTGGCATTTGTCAGTATTATTATTATTGTTTCTGAAGAGACACTAGATGAGAACAGAATGGGCTGGGCCAATCAGCTTTCCCTCCAGGAAGTCTCCAAGTAGATTGTAAGAGCCTTGCTGACACTGATTTTTGGTGCTAGCATTTGCCTCCTGTTTTTTAGCTTCTCATTTCATGAGGTTGTTCCTGGGGTGACAGGCTCCCCATCAGCAGCCAGGGCAGCATTCCTCTAAGTAGGCTTCCTGACCCAACCAGCAGCAGCCACGAACCAGCTCACTCTGGTCTGTTTTCCATATGCCGGGCACCTGCTGACCCTGCAGAGATCAAACTAAGATGATTAAGGAGATGCAGGCCTGCAACAACAGTGTAATCTTTCACCTCAGTTCAGACTGGAGTACCCCTGTTTTATCTCTCCTCCTTTTGGACTTCTTGTCTTATTTTCTCTTGGGTCTGATAGGCTTGGGCAAGGCAGGCATATGAGAGCCGTTCCCTGAGCAGGAAAAGTGCCTGTTCTTAGAAGGCTTGCAAAGTTAGAAATTTAGCTTCACTGGATGCCAAAAAAAGTGAAGGTAGCCCCAGAACGTTAAACTTGAAAGGACTAGTCTCGACCCCTCACTTTAATGCTGGGATCACACAGACTCGGAGAGGTTAGGTGACTTGTTCCACGGTCCACACTGTGGGGAGGTACCAGACCAGAACCAAACCTGGAAGTTTACTCCGTATCTCTGGTGGCATTTAGGTATTGCTAATGTACCTTTTTGTCTTGGACCATGATCGTCTCCTTGGGAGAAGGACATGTCTTTGGGACACATTGTAGCAGAGAATAGTAGTGAAGCCAGTGATGAAGAATGGTGGGTTTAGAATCAGTTGGCCTGGATTTGAATCCGTTTTCTTTTGTAGACTGTGGGACATGAGGCCAAATTCCTTAAACTCTCTTCATTTCTCCTCTCTGTAGAGGAGGTTACTCAAGAGATACTTCCTGTGTGAGGAAGATACTCAAAAAGTTTGGGAAGGTTTGGAAGATACTTAAGATACTCAAAAGGAAGATACTCAAACTTTTTGAGTATCTTCCTCACACAGTTGTAGTGGGTTAAATGTTGACAGTGTGAATCCCCTCAGTACCTATGTGTAGTCTAAAAGATACTGCTGTTACTAAATATTTTAAATCACCTTTTCACCTGGACCAACCACATTGGCCTTTTGACTCTTTCTTTTCCATTTGGTGTTTCCAGTCATTTAAAGACCAAACAAGAGCCACTTCTCTGAAACTTTCCCATGGGGTGGACTTTGAGTCTGACAGGCTGGTTTTATCTCCTAGTCACCCTGCTTAGTAGTTAAGAAACTTCGGTTTCCTCATCTGTAAAAGGTCTAACAAGCTGGGTGGTTGCGAGGCCAAAGGCGATGATGCATAGGAAGCATGCAGCCCGAACGCTTATCACTTCCCCTTCGTCAGCCCTTCCACCTTTCTTTCTGTAACTGGTTCACACTCCTCTCTCCTTTTCCTGTCTCCAGTCACCCTGTGTCCTGGTGTGGTTCGGCCCTCCAGGGTCATTCTCTTCCATAACGTGTCCTTCTGTCTCAGTCATAGACATTAAGCCTGAGGAGAACCAGGGACTTGCCTGCATCTCGCTTCATGGAACTTGCCTACAAGATAGATCAGCTCCTGATCCTTCTTTGGAGCCAGAGCATCCACAGGGATCACAGCCTCTGGGGTTGCCCCTGGCCCGGCAGTGGCAGCTCCAGGCCTGGGGCCGGGCAGGCAGCCAAGCCCATCCCCAGGAACACTGGCCAGGGCTGGCACGGTGCGGGGTGTTGGGGGGGGGGGGTTGGGGCAGAGAGGGAGGGTGACAGAAGCATTTGGAGCTGAGATTGAAGGAGAAAAGCTGGAGGGCTAATCCTGACCCAGCATAAACTGAGCAGACTTACTGGTTTCAATCTTTTAAGTAAACCCCAAAACTACATTTGTGCCCAGAAGTAGGTTTCCAGGGGTATATGTGTATGTGTGTGTTTTCTTTATTCTTTTTCCTGCCTTTCCTTTCTCCCTGCCCCTTGCCCTGTTCATCTCACTTATGCCCCTTAGCTGGAGCGGGAGAGCAGAGTCACGGTGAGGACAGGGAGACAGGAGCTGCACTGGTTACTTGGGGAGTCCTGTGTACCTGAGCCACCGTCTCTCCCTGCCCCCACCCCCCACCCCAAGCTGCACTGGCCACTGAAAAGAGCACTGTTCAGGAGGCTTGATTCTGTCACCGACTTGGCAAGAACAGCAGCAGCTATGTCAAAGGTTAACACTTACTGAACACTTTCTGTGGGCAGAACATCTCACATGGATTATCTCATTTACTCTGTCTTGAGGTATAGCTGCCCCATTTTAAAGTGAATGCTGACAGTCACACAGTTGGTGCCATCACCATGATTCATATGCAGGGTTGTCTGCTCCAAGAGTGCATCCTCTTAATCACTTTGCCCCTCTGTTCTCTGTTGCTAGATAGCTCTTTGGCCTTGCTGTGCCTCCATTTCTTTCTTATGAAGTGGGAGTAACTATGTCACAGAGCTACATACTTATGTAGAGTGATGATAATGTAATACCATATACAAAGTGGTAATTCGTTGATAATGGTGCTCTGTGGCTGGTGAAGCTTGGCACCAGATTGTGCTGAGGCTGTCCTCTTCAGGGAGGCGGCTGGGATGACCAGTTGGAAAGGCAGTTCCATTAAATTAATATAAATGAGTATCAAGCTAGAAATCCTGTCTTCTGTAAGCCTACAGAGCTCGGCCTAAGTGGGAAAGGGAGGGAGTAAGGAACTGGCTGGAAGCATGCCCCAGGTTAGGTACAGTGAGTAACTGGTAGCTTCAGGGTATCCCTAGAGGACAGCAAATGCCCAGCTTGATTGTACTCAGCATCAGTCATAAGGAAGTCTCATCCTATGGAGAACACAGTCCTGCAGGTGTTTCTGGGCAGTGGTGTGTTTGAGCAGGGTCAGTGCTTCAAGAGACTGTTCTTGAACAAGACCCAAGCACATGACTCCAGGCAGGGGTAAGCATCCTGGTAGGGCCTGGGAAGGCTGTTCAGATAGGACGAGCTGGGGCTTTCATCAGGCTAAGCAGATACTGCTTGGCTGTTAATGATAATGAACGATAGCTGTCCTCCGTCATTTCTGGGGCAGCGGGGGAGTGGGTGGGGGGGGACGATGGTCACTGTGTGGCAGGTACCCTTTATCTGCATTTCCTGACAATCCTTACAACTGCTTTGTGAGGCAGATACCATTCTGCAGCTTAAGGAAATACCGGTTTCAATTATGGTCAACAATAATCACTGGCAAAGTTGAGCTTTGATTTCAGAGCGAGAGTTTTTAACCAGCCGATGGTCTGAAACATCCCCGCTTTACAGCATCTCTGGCGAGGCTGAGTGCATGGGCTTCACAGCTGCCTGGGCCCCAGAGCTCGCTGGGAGAGGACAGTGAGTGAGACACCCTTTTTAAAGCACCGGGCGCAGACAGTGTGCTGTTATCTTTCCAGTGACCGATGGGATCGCGTTCGTGACCTAGAGCTCAGGACCCATCCATTAGTGGGCTCTCCCTTGGTGCTCTGATGTCGGTGGACTCAGCAGTCTGGCCTAGAGGTAAAGGTGCATTTCTCAAGCCAGACATACCAGGTTCTGCTTGTGTGATGTTGGGTGATTTACTTTGTGCCTCAGTTTCCTTATCATTAAATGGGGTTGCGGGGGGTTATCATACAGGAGTTTTACTGTCGGTAAAGTGCTTATTAGCATAGTGCCAGGCATGAGATCAAGTGTTCAATAATTGATAACTGCAATTATTAGCTGTTAGCCATCAGCTAGCAAGTCCAGGGAGACTTCCAACTTTGAGACACACTTGAAGTGCTGCCATTTGGGGACACAGGGCTTGTGAGACCCAGCCTGGGAGCAAAACTGTTTTCCCAAGGAAAGAGGTAGATACAAAAGAAGGGAGGCCACTGAATCATCAGGGGGCTGTATTTGCCATCAGATCTGAAAATATTTTCTTCTGGCTTGAGATAGTCACTCGCCTCAACACTTATCTGGAGTGGGGGCATTTCACAGAAAGGACCAGAATGGAAGAGAGACCTGACCTTCTGGCACTTGCTGATTGATCATCTGTTTAAATTGATTTTCCCCTCCTTTTTCTCATCTTCTAGGCATGTTAAAAGCCATCAGGTTCTGCTGTGTCAGGTCATCAAAGATGCTCTTATGTGGAAGGCCGTTTGGGGAAATGGGATTAGGGCCTCTTTGGGAGGCCCATCTGTTCGGCCTACCTGAAGGCCCTGGTGCCAGGATTTGGAGGAAGCTGGTACAATGAAGCATCTGTCCTGTGGGGGTGGGGGTAAGTGGCCTGGGGTAGGTGGGTCAGACAGAGGCCAGGAAATCCTCTTATCCTGCCAGGTACCTGGGCCTCCCTCAGCAACAGGAGCTGAGCAGCAAACCCTGGTGAGTCAGCATGCCTGGGAATTAGAGTTGCCAGTCTGTGAGCATGTGGGGTTTGTGTAAGTTTGGGCCTTTTGTTTCTTTTAGCACTGTAGTCTTTAGAAACACAAATCTGGAAACCAGACCTTCCACATGGTATAGTCCTGCTTGTTTTGAGATAATTCAGCTTGAACAGTTGCTTTCCTTGTATGCTGGTCTTCTAAGAATTAACCCCTTGCCTTTTAAAATTTTAATAGGTTGTGCTTATGGCTTATTCACTATATTAAAGCATAAAAGGACTTAAGAAAACATACTTGGGTCTGTCTTTTTCCACACCAAAAAATCCGTGTAGGGTTTCAGTGTTTTTTGGGTTTTTTTTTTTTTTTTTTTTTTGAAAGCCTAATGGAACTGCAAGTCTTTTTAGGGCATGTATGGGCATGTCTCTGTCATTTATTCTCTTTGAGGGTGGAGAATAGGACACACCCTGATACGATTAGTCTCTGATAAGTAGAAGAATGATTCTGCTCATCATTTAACATGTATGCTCAGAATTTACCCACAGAATTCCTTTTGAAGATAACTTCAGATTTATCTAGGCACCATTTGGAGAAAATCAAAATTCTTTAGGTAAAGTTTAAAGCTCCAACCTTCCATAAAAAGCTCCCTTTTGGGGGAACTTGGGTGGCTTAGTCGTTGAGCATCTGCCTTTGGCTTAGGTTGTGATCCCGGGGTTCCGGGATCGAGTCCCACATCGGGCTCCCTGCATGGAGCCTGCTTCTCCCTCTGCCTATGTCTCTGCCTCTCTCTCTGTGTCTCTTATGAATAAATAAAATCTTTAAAACACACACACACACACACACACACACACACACACACACACACCCTTCTGCCCCACTGCCCATCTCCTAAGAGATTTGAATTTGGATCACTAAGGGCCACAACGCTTCCTAGAGCTGGAGAGGCATGGGACTAACATTGACGTAGGTCCCCTTTACCTACTCTGCTTCTGGCTCCTGGTCTAGGGTTGTATTAACATCATTTTGGTGGCTGCAGTGATTATGGCAGCAGGTAGAATTTGACAGGTACTAAGTTGTAGCTGGATCTTTTCATGAATTAGTTGGAAGTTAAGAGAGTCCTAAGAAGGCAGTTGCAGAGAATTCACTTCACCCTTGACCAGGAAATTTCTAGCAATTCTTCTAAAAACATTCTTAAATAGAATAAGTAATAAACCACCATGATGAGTTTGTGATGTATCCGTGCAGACTTTTCTTTTTTATCTACTAATTATCCTACCATTTTGAGATTATATTTGGATAAAGGAACCCTTCTTTTAAGGTGGAGACACTCTCTTGGAGGACTGAGCTTGCCAGCCTTGTAGGCCCTTCCTGTTTGGTGTGGACTTGGCTCTGACTCTTTATACAACCTCACAGAGGACCTGGGGAGGAGAGAGAGAGAAACTGGAGGACTGGGAACCTTGGTGTGGGGTATAGGCCTGGTGTTTGGCTCCTGTGGGTGGGCAGAGGAAGCGTGGAGAAAGGACATTTCACCTACTGTTTCAGAGAGCCCCAGAAAGGAATCTGAAGAGATCAGAGGCAAATTTTACTTTGCTATTTGGTTAGGACACTGCATGTAGTCCTGACTCCCCAGATACTTTACCTTGTCTTTAGGCCATTATGAAACTGTATAGTTGTCTTAAATGTGGCTACCCTTTCTCCCTACTCCTTCTACTTAAAAAAAGAAAATCTGAGGATTTTGACATTAGGGACTAGAAGATGAACTTTTTATTTGCACCTTCTGGCTTAACCCAGGACCAAATAACTTTCTTATGTGATGGCAAGTTGGCAAGACAGATTTCCTCTGGAATATTTCTGGCAAAACTGTAGTCTTCCTTGATGCGTTCTGCACATGAATCAACCTCTTTGTAACCTATGTTACCTTAAGAATTTTAGGCATTTTCTTACTGGTTCTCCATATGTGCCCTAGCCCTGTATCTCCAATGTGAAGGGTAGAGAGCTTATGGGAAAGAACTGTGAGTATCTCCCCGGGCTCATGGTTGGCTCACGAAATAGAGGGGTGCCCCGGGGCACAGTTCCCAGAGGGGAGGGGAGTTTGTGACTGCCTGTCTCCCCATCCAGTGGTAACTGCTCTGATTTTCTTCCAGGTTGGCTAGCTCCTCTGGCTGATGGCATGTTGAGGCACATGGGCCAGTGGCTGCGAGGGCATCTGATCCAGAGGGGGCCACTCTAGAGGCCAGGCCACCAGCACCATGGGCCAGTGTGTCACCAAGTGCAAGAATCCCTCATCAACCCTGGGCAGCAAGAACGGAGACCGTGACCCCAGCAGCAAGTCACACAGCAGACGGAGTGCAGGCCACCGTGAGGAACAGCCACCAGCGTGTGGCAAGCCAGGCGGGGATATCCTTGTGAATGGGACCAAGAAGGCAGAGGCTACCACTGAGCCCTGCCAGCTGCCAACGTCCTCTGGAGATGCCGGGAGGGAGCCCAAGTCCAATGCTGAGGAGTCTTCCCTGCAGAGGCTGGAAGAACTGTTTAGGCGCTACAAGGACGAGCGGGAGGATGCAATTTTGGAGGAAGGCATGGAGCGCTTTTGCAATGACTTATGTGTTGACCCCACAGAATTTCGAGTGCTGCTTTTGGCTTGGAAGTTCCAGGCTGCTACCATGTGCAAATTCACCAGGTTAGTCACAAATACTTCATATCACCAGGTGAGCAGAGGAGGATGAGTGCACTCCTGGGCAGGGGTGCCCAGCTGGGGTAGAACTGGGTTGGCTTCTTAGGGTTTTGGGTAAGTTTTTTTGTTTGTTTTTGTTTTCGGCAGTATATGCATAGCATATAAAGCTATGCAGCACTTGAACAGGCAACGACTGTCTTTGCCTGAAATTAAGCAAAGAATAACCCACATGGAGCCCTGTGGCCACACTGCTGCCCAGCACCACTGCTCTTTCAGACTTTTACCTTTTCTTTTACTTGTTTACTTGTAATTCACTCACTCCCTCACCCACTTGATTTTTATTGTACACCTGTCATGTGCCAGGCACTGTGAGTGCTGGTCTGGTCTTTGAGGACCCGCCTCCATCACTCACGGAGTCAGTTGTCCCTTCTAGCTCTGTGTGCATTTCCCTCAGCCAGCGTATGTGCCAACAGGGACAACTGGCCCCAGTTAGTAAGCAGTAGTTGTGCACATCACCATGGTCATATGTCCCTGTAGAGGTTGGTTGTGGGGAGGTAGTAGCAAGGTTACCCAACGTGTGGTTTGCAGAGCACACACCCCCCACTCCACCCCCAACCCCAGTTTCTAGCCCCTGGGTTTCAGATGCCTTATATTTTCAGCTGAAACAGCAGTCTCTGAGGTGATCATCAATGAGAGACCATGTTGTAACCTGAAAGTGTTATGTAGATGTTAAAAATACATACGCAGTTTTTGTTCTTTAATAATAGAACTTTGATCTCTGGTGGCAGAGTTAGCCAGAATCTTTGGCTCCAAAGATCTCCCTTGGCAGTCACCAAAAATATTCCAAAAACAAACAACCCATAGAGAATCAAAAGGAAAGCAGGAAGACTCCCCGTCTAGGAGGGGAGTCTGAGCTTAATTGCTGTTGCAGAATGGGAAATAGAGCATCAAGCGGGAGACTGGAGTTTCGCTTTGGAAGGTTGGATAAGTGAATGAAGGAACCACCATCAGCCTCTTACCATGTGCCAGACACTGTTAGAAGCAGTGGACACATATTAACTTGTTTAGTCCTCACTAAAACCCTATGAAGTAAAGGTGGTATTCTCACCATTTGACAGATGGATAAATAGGACTAATTAGTGGAGGAGTTGGAACTCAAATCCAGGCTGTCCAATCTCAAAACCATGCTCTTACTGTGCTATATTGCCTCTCAGCAGATGATGATACTGTTTACAAATATTAATTGTGCCCCCTCCTTCCTGTTGCAGGAAGGAGTTTTTTGATGGCTGCAAAGCAATAAGTGCAGACAGCATTGATGGGATCTGTGCACGATTCCCTAGCCTCTTAACAGAAGCCAAACAAGAGGATAAATTCAAGGATCTCTACCGGTTTACATTTCAGTTTGGTCTGGACTCTGAAGAAGGGCAGCGGTCACTGCATCGGGAAATAGCCATTGCCCTGTGGAAATTAGTCTTTACCCAGAACAATCCTCCAGTATTGGACCAGTGGCTAAACTTCCTAACGGAGAATCCCTCGGGGATCAAGGGCATCTCCCGGGACACTTGGAACATGTTCCTTAACTTCACTCAGGTGATTGGCCCTGACCTCAGCAACTACAGTGAAGATGAGGCCTGGCCAAGTCTCTTCGATACCTTTGTGGAGTGGGAAATGGAGCGAAGGAAACGAGAAGGGGAAGGGAGAGGTGCACTCAGCTCAGGGCCCGAGGGCTTGTGTCCCGGGGAGCAGACTTAGTGGCTCTATCCCAGGAGCAGCAGCAGCAGCAGCAGGGATCTGCCTGCTGCCCTGCAGCCAACGGAGGAATTGGACCTTTCTGGAAATTACTGAAGATCCAGATATTTTCTACTTTACACCTTTCTCTGCCTTGTATCTGAAAGGGCTCTAAAATGCTGTATCATGTTTTAGGCACTTTCTTCACTTTTTGGTTATTTTGGTTATTTCTTTTTTTGGGGGGGGTTCCCCAAAATATTTGAACCTGGCTACATGTTGTGTATTTTTTTTGAAGCCTTCAGATAGAATAAGCCTGCCATTTCTTGCACAAATTAGTTTTTTTTTTTTTTTTTTTTTTTTTTGTGGGGAAGGGTGTAGAGCAGGGAGGGGGGAATGGGATGGTTAGGTTGAATTAACATTACAAGATGATACAGTGCCAGATCTCAGTTTTGCATATTCTGTTTTTCAGGGCAGGTCTGTACTGTGTGTAGTGCTGTTTACATGGTTGAATTTAGGTTGTAATAATTATTTTAAAAGATTTACACAGAATTGAATAGCAGTGTTAACTGTTAACCATATTGCATTAATTCCCAGGCGATTTAAAGCTCTTGGAGAGCTAAGGCCAGCCAAGAGCATTTGTAGTCTGGTGACAACCCCCTTTTAAGCTAATTTATCCGAAACTCTTTATTTTCTTCTCTTCTTGCTCATTCCTTCTTTGACCTATTGCATTTCATGTTGAGTTTATCCATCAACATGCTGCACCTGTCAGTCAAGTGAGCAGTTTTGTTTTTTTTTTTTTTTAGAACACATAGTACTGAGAACCACTTAAGCATTGAATGCAGAGAAAGCAGTGCTACCTCAGTTTTGCTGGAAGTAGATTTTGATAGTTTTCTTTTTTTGTTGAATTTTCTGTATTTTCATGTTGTAAGTGAAAATACTTTTTTTTTTCTTTTGCCTTGGAGCCAAAGTTTCTGTTCCTGGTGGTCGGAAAACTGTGCCTGCCGGCCAACTGACTTGAAGGAAAACTGTGGTATGGAGCTCTGCTTGAATTTTTTTTTTGTAAAGTTTTTTTTTCTTTTTTTTAATATCATCAGCTTACTTGTCTGGCAAGTGCAGAAGCCTGGGATTGGCCTGAACTCTGCCAAACAAATATAGAAGTGTATTTAATAGTTAAATGTGTGCCCTTTCCCTTCTTGCTGCACCCATGTTGTCACTTAACCCCCAGGAGTTATTTATTATCTTCTTTGTTAATGTCAGGCTCATTTGGGGTAATGTGATGACTGTTTAGGTTTACATGACCCTTCTCTCCTTCCCCTACCCCCAAATATGTATATATACATATATAAGATATGTATATATTTTACCTATATAAAATATATATATACACATATATGTATCTATATTCCTTTGTTTCTTTTTGCCTGCTAAAACTGGCCATAAAAGAGGGAGCTGCCTTCAATATATAAAGCATGAGTGCCAGGTAATGTCATAAATGGAGGCTTTTGAATCTGAATTTGGACCATCTTCACTAAAGAGAGGATGAATTTTCTCAAACCTTTCCTCACAAGAGGGAGGCCCAGTTCCCCAGACTCCTCCATGTGCTTGCTCCAGAAGGCCAGCTTTGGCCAAAGTGCCCCACAGGAGCTGACTCTGGTCCTACCTGGTTTCAGTAGAGGGTCTTCTTGTTATTTTTCCATTAAAAAAAAAAAAAAAGTGTCCTCAAAAAACTGTACTGGAAGGGTGGGTGGCAGGAACTTGTACAGTTCAGCTCCCAACACTTTGGAACAGATTGAAAAGGGAATCTTTTAAATAAAAACATAAAATATTTATACTCTTGAGGTAATGAGAGTTTGTCTATTAAACATTTGGAGTTTTCTTCCCTAACTACTTCCATCTGCCTCCCAGGTATATGTTTCTCAGCCTGGGCAGGAATTGCTTATTTTGAGTTCCTTTATTAGGAGCCTTATGGCTCCAGGCTCCCATCTTTCCAAAGATGATTACTTAAGGAGTTCCTGCAGTCGATGTTTTTCTAAGATTGACATTGACATAGGAAACGTACTTGGTTTTTTTTTTTTTTAAGATCCTAAACTTGGCAGTTGCCCCTTCTAGAGGGGTAGAAGGGAAACTTTAAAGAATCAGCCACAGCAAGTTAGTACTGCTGGAAAGCTGAAGAGGGTCTCAGGCCAGAAGTCTGGCTTTGTTCTAGCCTAAGACACAAGTTCCTTGTATAAAGAGAGTTTCCAGGGGCCCCAGCAGGTTCTGTGGGCTCAACTGTAGTCAGGGTGCTTAGACTGAGGTTTTAAAGAGACTGCTTTCTCATTCAGCCAGTCCTGCAAGCCCAATATTTCCTGATTCTAGACTGGATAGAGTTTGAAAAGGAAAGGGCAGGCTGCTCCTAGCCAGGTAAGGCTCCCTTATGTCTTAGATTACAAGGCTATATGGAGAGAAGAGCACAAGAGAGGATGGCACCAAGAATCCTGAGGACTCTGGAGGAACTGGATTCCTTCCCCAGCCTACAAGGTGGCATTCCATGCATTAGGTATGCTAGAAGTGGGTAGATTTTTGTTAACTATACAGCCTCCCCATCCCGACCTCCCACAAAGAAAGCCATTAAATAAATTATTTTTGGTTATATTTTTAATGATCTATTTGTTACAGAAATGCAAATGAGAAACCAGTAAAGGAAATAGGGAAGAACTTGTAGGTTCTATCCAGGTTGGAGTTCCTGGTGCACGCTAGCTCTGGGCCAGTGTTTGACTTGAAAAGCAGTTTTTTAGCAAAGGGAACGGAGGTGGGGTGTGTGTATGGTTTGTAGTCACACTTTATGGAGAAATTAAAGGTCCCTGTTCCTTTTAGCCTAGAAATAGGTTTGCTGTTTAATGAGCAAGCAGTAATTGTGTGGAAGAGGCCAAATGCATGCCCCTCAGGTAAGCCAGTGTGTGCTCTTCACTTTAACAACATAACATCAGGGTGGTACAGAGGGGCAGGATGTGGATTTTGAAAATAGGCAAATATCTGAGGGTGATTACAAGAAATTGAGTATGTATTGGGACATTCTTAGTTTTTGGCAAATGGCTTTGAGTTTGTGGTGTATTCTTTAGTGATTAGAAAGCTATATGAGATGAAGTATTGCTTCATTGACATGCTCTTGCTCCATCCTTGCCATATTTGAATGTATCATTAACCCCACCTCTTGTAATGACACTTTGCTATGCTTCAGCTGGATGCCTCAACAGTTTTCCCTCACCTGGACCAGTTGTGCCCACATGTGAGCTTGGGTCCAATACCCCCATCTACTCTTCTGATAAGAAAAATGAGAGCTGGGTAATGATCCAAATTTCACCCAAGCTGAGGCCTAAAGAAATCCAATTAGAAATGTACTAGGCAGTGTTTTCAATATTAAACTTCCCTAAGGAAGGCACAAACTAGCTTTCTTGGGAAGGGAGCAGGGATTAAGCCACGGAGTTCATATTTGATACAGTTCTGCTCTCCCAGAGGCTGGTGTCAAAATTTAGTCCTCCGTGCTGGAGTCCACAGGATGTGGGACTCCATAGTTCATTGGATGGCCTCAAATCCTATTATGCCAGACTGCATTAAACAACGATGGGAAATTACTGGGATAAGGACTTGGGTCTAAAAGTTTAAAAATCAAAACATCTCTATGTAAGACTGTGGTTTGCCACATTTAAAGAGAAGTCTTTTGAGTGTAGTGAAGCCCAGGAATAGACCCAATTATACAATTATAAGGGCTGGAGAGAAGCTGCTGCTAGATTTGTTTTAGCTGCCCGCTTCGCTGTTTTTCTTGTGTCTCTTAATGTTGCTTAGTGATGACTTGAACATCTTGGTAACTGACAAAGGTCTTCCCTTGGGGGGGGGGCTCGAAAAATCTTGGAAACTGACAAAGGTCTTCCTGTGGGGGGACGCTAGCAGTATCTTGTTTAAACAGTCGAAAGGGAAAGGATTACTACAAGTTATTGAAGTATGTTAATTGGGACTCATGTGAGGACCTATGTTGTTGATCCTCCTCCTACTCCATAATCTGTTTTCTGAATCCTAGAGGGGGGTTTCTACCCACTCCCTTTCCAAGTATATTCTTATTGGTAGTATATATCCAGTTTAACCTGGACTGAGGGCCATGTTTTAGTGAGGATCTATGCAGATGTTTTTCCTTATCGAAAGAGTTTATGCTTGAGCACTGGTTGCAGAAGCCGAGATGATTCAAATAGCTTTGAGAAACCATCAGGTTCTCCTGATTCAGGTGCTGGGGCCTCAACATCCTATTCCTCTTGGAAACTAAGCTTGCTTTCATAGATACTTTTTCCACTACCCACCTTCTCTTTTTGCTACTTAATACAACATAATCTTGGATATTGCCAAAGGAAGCCTTTCAGCAGATGGTGACACCCACCCCCACCCTGACTCTGGTCCCCAGCCCCGAGTCTGTAATTAATTGCTCTTACCTGTTGCACTAACAAATATGATTCTAGGTTTCAAAGGGGGAACTTGAAACAATAGGCAAATGGGGCTTGGATGAATTGGTCCTACAGATACCCTGCCTTAACCCACTGAGGTGATGAGTCCACTACTCATGTGACCCTCCACCTTTGTGGATTCCTCTTGGTTTGTGACCAGTGTGTCTGTTTCCTAAGGTTGTACAAACTTATTGACAAAGGTCAATACTTCCGTTTGTATTCTCTGCACTGTTGCACTCTCAAAATGGCCCCTTGAATAGTTTTATTAACTTGTTACACACATTTTTGTCTGTCTACATTTTTCTTTTGATGTTTTTTTATTTGGAAGGTTACCTGCTGTTGGATTTAATAAATTTGTTTACTTCACTATTGACAATTCTGAGAGAAAAAAAACACAGACCCAACCAGTGACTTTATTTTGGGGTGAGATTTACCCGCCGGGAGCCTCTTCCAACGTGATATTGGATAGCAGTTCCTATGCTTTGGAAAATAATTCAGATGGTACAGGATCCTCAGACTTCAGACATGGATGTTGACTTCCCACTTACCAACTTAATGGCCTTTGGGGTCCTAATACTTGTAGGCAAAAAGACCAATGAGTCCTCAGAGGGCTACTACCTAAATAGTATTATTGTAGCAACTGATGTCGATTCTCATGAGGAACAAAAAGTGAATTTGAGCACTGTGCTAATGGATGGCTCCTACATCTATCAGGTTGGCAGTGATTAAGGCAAAGGACACAAGCTGAAACTGTCAAGTGCCACTGCTGTGTGACCTTTGGCAAGTTAGTGAAATTCCGAGTTTCCTTATACTCATCTGTAAAATCAAGAGACTATTATTTCCATCAGTGTTAGGATTTAAAAAGAGTTTTTGTAAAGCACCTAAATCACGGAAGTTTAAGGTTTCCAAAAGGATGTCAGGTGAGTAATGCAAGGAATCCAGAGAGGAAGAGATGGGGGTTGGCATGGTCACACTGGACCTTTCAGGTCACTGCCCCTCCTGGGGGCTTAACTTCCCTCTCTGTGCCAAACTGGGGGTGGGGTGGGGGCTTTGACTAACATGATTCCTGATGGCTCTATTTGGCTCTTACATCCTAGAAGTCTGATTATGGTAGACCAGTTATGACCCTTAGCTTCCTTTCATTGTATTTTCTGTCTTGTTATTGTTTATATTCAGGAAAGCTATTGGCCAGCCATCTTACTCACTTCTTTGATGGAGGCCCTAATGACCTTCCCAAAGATTTCCAGCCTCATGTTGGTATCTCCTAAAAATAAGTAAGTACAGTGGTGGGACTAGATGTGCTTTTATTTTTTCCTTGCAGTTGGAAAGGACTTGGGAGTCATGGCTACATCCTTTAGCTAGGGAGGTTATAAGGTTTCCTCAGTGAACCGGAATTTTTTTCTTTTATTTTCTTTCCTTATTATCAAGGTTAGCATCAAATGGAGGATGGAAGGAAATGGGGTGGGGGTGGGGGTTAATTTTTTTCTTACTTAAAAAGTGTATCTCCAAAACAGATTCTTATTCCCCAGTTGGCTCTTGGGCTTGTCTCTTCTGTGCTTAGACCTTTCAGACTTCAGCCCAGCCACGGCCTTAACAAATAGAAGTTTGGGGAATTCCGAAGTGAAAGATTTAGGTGCCTAGTTAGAGCCTGGAGCTATTCAAAGTGTTGATATGGTGTTGTACAGATTATATATGGCTAAAATACAAATTCTGATTAGATGAGGGGCAAGCAACTTCTTCACACCAGAGATGAGCTTAACTGCATGTAAAATGGATGTTTTCTAGCAAAAAAAGGTATCCAGAAGGTAGTGCCAAGGATCCAGAGAAGTACCAAAAAGTCATTTCAACAGTGGCATCTTCTCTTTCTTCAAGTCCAGTTGCCAAAAGCACATGGCTGGGTTGGCTCTGGAAGTCCTATTTTAGGTCGGAGTTGTGACCTAGGTCCAAAGGGTCAGTCTTGGGGAAGGAAAGGTACGGAAACCAGCCTAACCTTTTCATTTCCTTTCCTTTGTTGTGACGTCTCAAGAGGCCCTATCTTATGAAAACCAGAAAAGGCTCTTCTTGGGGCTTAATGTTCTTCCCATGTAATGTTCCAACCTTGATTCTCTTGCCTTAGGGGTGCTGAAAAAGTCCTAGTGGATTATGGCAGCAATGCAGTCAACAGCAAAGCCTCTGACTATAGTGCTTTATAATCCATGCAGATTGGCCCTGTGTTTATCTGGGGTGGTGCTGCTGAAATTGCTAGTATATTAAAATAAAGAGCTACAAAATGGTATGGCACCTTAGTGTAAGACAAGACAAAAGAAAACACATATGCTCTTAAATATATGGACTTACATAGTAAAGGACGTATTCTTCTTGATTGGGTAAGTAAAGATAGGTAAATGGGTAAAATCTAAATATTTTGGGGGAAGTTGCCATATGCCAAAACAACTTCTTGGAAGAATAAAAGGTATAAGTGTGAAAATTAAATTATTAAAAAGCGATACAAGGGTGCCTGGGTGGCTCAGTTGGTTAAGCATGTGACTTAATCTCAGCTCAGGTCCTTTTTTTTTTTTTTTAATTTTATTTTTATTTATTTATGATAGACCCAGAGAGAGAGAGAGGCAGAGACAGAGGCAGAGGGAGAAGCAGAATCCATGCTGGAAGCCTGACGTGGGACTCAATCCCGGGACTCCAGGATTGCGCCCTGGGCCAAAGGCAGGCGCGAAACCACTGAGCCACCCAGGGATCCCCTCAGCTCAGGTCTTAATCGCATGGTTGTGAGTTAAAGCCATAGGTCGGGCATGGAGCCTACTTAAAAAACAAACATCCCCACCTGCCCAAAACCATACATACTTGTCAGCGTCTATTAAACTGATCTTGGGATCAATCAAGACTTTATAAGAACAAATAAAAGAAAGCATAAGACTTCTAAAACTACCTTAAAAGAAAAAGCTAGAAACATTTTTGCAATAATCAATAGATATTATACTTAATCCATAAGGAGAACTTAAAGAAAAACAATTGGCCAAAAAAGCTTCTGGGGAAAAAAAAGAAAGATACCAATCTATAGGATATTCAAATAAACAGAAATCAAATCTATTTATTTAATGGATAGTTTTTTTTTTTTTAACCTATCAAATTGGCAAAGATTTGGAACAAGTCCAGGCCAACAGAGTAAAAAACTTCTGAGAAATTAAAACTGTAAGTGTTCATACTTACAGATGCTGTAAGTGTTCATACCCAATTTCACTTCTAAGAATTTTTTCTTAAGAAATATTTGTCAAAGATGTATGTGCAAGGATTTAATTGGTTAGGGACAACTTCAGTGTCAAGGGGACTGTTTTGGAAATTATGGCACATATCAACACACTGGAATATTATGCAGCTATTAAAAAACTCTTGAATGATGGAAAAAGTATGACATAAGACTGAAATAATGACATTGTTAACTGAGTGGTGGCATTAGAAGTGATTTTACCTTTTTTGAATTTTTCAAGTTTCCATTAATTGGTTTTCTTTATAATAGGGAAGAAATTATTTACAAAAGGGGCAAAAAAAGGAAATGAAAACAAACATGGCTGAGTGTCCTAAACAATTCCATTATGGGTGAGGAGATCAAAATTGGGAGCAATATGTTCAAAGCCTAAATCAAGAGTTGTGTAAAAATCCTTGGGAGTTGCTTTTCCCCCTCAAATGAGAAGCTGCTTCTCCAGCAGCTGCCTTGGCTGCCTAGAAGGGTGTGGGAGGAAAAATGCACAAACGCACTTATGAATGGAATGTGTGTTTTGCAAGAGGCCAAGTTGGCAGCTTTGGCTTCCAAAAGGTGGGAGCATCAGCTGAAAAGAACAGAGTGTGCAGACTGAGGCTTCAGAGACCTTATGGTTGGGCCCATCTCTTCAGAGTTCTAGAGTTGGGGGCCCACTGGGAAACCTCCCTTCAGGAAGGAAATGGTCTTGGCTATTCCTAGGAGCAAAGGCAGCACTCTTGGCACATGGAGCCTAATCTGTTCTGTGATTCTGTACTTGGAAGATGCTCCTCAGTAAATTGTCATTCATTGAACACTTAATGTGGGTTTTCCCTAACTTAATCCTCACAACAACCTCATGAAGTAGGTACTAATGTCCCCATTTTAAAGGTGAGGTAACAGGTTCAGAGACAGAAAGTCATATGTAGCCACTACTCTGTCATTTTTCATAAGCTGGATCTTTGAATGTTCACAATAATCCTTAAAAAGATACTTTCTCATTTTATAAGCTGTGAAAATATACTCAGATGAGATTCAAGTGGTTTGCCCGGAAGCAGAGCTTAAGTACCAGCCCAGGTCTGTCCATATTCAAAAGCAGACACTTACTTTGTATCCAGACTGGAGTCTCAAGACAAACGGCAGCAAAGCTCTTAACAGCTTTGGAGCTCAAGGTGGGGGTGGGGAAAGAATCCAGCAACATTGGCAGTGTTAAGATGTTCTCAGGGCATTCACTGTATACCTGGGAAGCTTTTCTCTTTATAAGGGAGCTTCATAAGCAAGTTGCAGTATCTTGCTCCTAAATCACACTCTTCAGTTGTGGCTCCTGGTTCCCCAACTCATCGGGCCAGTTGTTGTCGAAGTTCAAATGATTAAACACTGCCTCAAATGCCCAACCTTCAGAGTTAATTTTAAGTATTCTAGTTATAAAAGCAAAATATGGTGATTTAAAATAAAAACAGCCTATACACAGAAAAGCAATTTGGTAAAACCTAATCTTCCAATCTTCCAATCCCACCACATTTGACATAGAGTCTTACAGGTTTTTTTCCAGGCCTATGCATGTCTCTGTGTATCTTTCGCTATTCCGTAACTCTCCATATTTCCTACAGCAGAGACTGGGAATGCATAATCATGTCTTTACAATAATCCCATGAGGTGTGTACCATTACTGTCCCAAGCACAGAAACGTTACTCAAGTTCACATAATATGTAGAAAAGTTAGGATTCAGAGTCCTTCTGTATCCAGAGGTCCAACTGCTACTTCTTGCCAATCTCTTTTCTAGAAATTTTACTTACAATTTTTAAAAGTGGCTATCAAGAACTCCATTGTGCTCACCCTGCGATATCTCCTCTATACATGTGTGAAACTATCCCATTACAGCATACTGATACAGAAGTGGAATTGCTGGATCCCAATGTATGGAGCACTTTACAAGGGTTTTCAAGGGTTTTGGTAGGACACATAATATATGCCAGATTAGCTCATCTCTTTCAAAAGGCAGATAAATATCTCTTTCAGAGTTGTGTGTGCCTGTACCCATGTCCTTTCCAACACAGAATGTTAATATTTTGAGAGGTGATTAAAAAAATAGCAGCTTTCAGTGAAATTGAAGCTTTCAGTTCTAAGGGGGAGATCTGGTGTGATGGAGGCACCTAGTGGTGAAGGGTGACACTGCGGTCTCCCCGAAGGGAAGGAAGCATTCCTAAAATTGGAGTTGGAAGGGTGCTTCCAGTGTAGGTGAAAAACACAGTCTTCCACTCTCCTGTGTCTGTGGACCTGCCAGATTTTCAGTTCAGCCTCTTTTCCCTTCAATTTTATGAGAGAAGTCTGCCTAACAATTTTGCTTCATAGATACAACATCAAAAATCTACATAATGCCACAGCAGTCCCTTCCTCCTGGTTTCCTTTCCTACATAGACCATTCAATAGGAGTGTTACACGGAATGAGCACCTACTACAACTTTCCTGTGTATAAGTCCACTGACCCAAAGAAAGTACAAACTGGTTTCCTTCTCACCCCGTCTTAAGATGAAGAATGCTTGAATTTTAGGCATTTATTGAAAATTTGTACATGCCATATAAATGGACTGAACTTTAGCCTGACCACATTCTCTGCCATTGCCCACAAGGGATAAGAAATGGCACATGGAAAATGATGGGCAGACTCACAAACACACGTTTGGGGTGGTGCTTTCCTCTTCATCTTTTATTCCCATCAATCCTAGGCCAGAGAATGATCCGTGAGTGCTGCAACAAATGAATGAAGATAGGTTTTTAATCCACAGGGCTGAAAGAATGGTTACAAACTCCTACATAAGAGGTGGTAAGTTTTTTATTCATGAGAGACACAGGCAGAGGGAGAGCAGGCTCCATACAGGGAACCCGACGTGGGACTCAATCCTCAAGGTCTCCAGGATCACGCCCTGGGCTGAAGGCAGCGCTAAACCACTGAGCCACCCAGGCTGCCCAAGTTTTTTGAGTATATGTATGCAGCAGGGCACAGGCAGGTTAAGACAGTTTATGGAAAGCTGCCTACTGAAAATGGTTCAATGGAAAGAAGATTGACCAGTCTTAGAGGCCTAGAATTGAGACCGCTCTACCATTTTACAGATTGAAACATATCTCAACCAAGGGTGAATGACCCCAAACTGAGCCTCAGTTTCTACAACTATAAAACAATTAAATACTTAAATTACTATCTTACAGGGCTTTTGTGAAGACTATAGAAAATAGCTAAAATATACAGATCATTTCCTTTTGCATTCCTCAAAAACCATACAGATCATTCACCATGTACCAAGCATTCTTTTATGTGCTTTTAAAATATACATCCTCATTTAATCCTTCAAAACAGCTTATGTACCTAATGTAGGTACTAATGCAAGTATTAATTATTATGTCCATTTTTCAAAAATAATCTAGACTTAAATAGGTTGCTCAGTAAGTTGAATGACAGAACCAGGTAATGGCAATCTGCCATCAAGAGTCCTTTTAAATAATGTTATATTGTAAAACACTTGGTACAATGGCTGGAACTTGGGAGTCATTCAGTACATGTTAGTTCCCTGCCTCCTTGTAGTGAATATTCAAAGGTTTGGGTTCAAGGGCTAAGGAGCTCTCCATGGCAAAGCAGGTAGAAATGAGCAAAGACAAACCCAGAATCTATCACCACCTGATACCTTAACTTACACCAACAAGCAGTCTTTTGGACGTGAAGGACTGGAACTCTGTGTGGAAAGTGGCTCTGGAGTCAGACTATCAGGGTTCAAATCCTAACTACATTTACTAGGCTGTGTGACCTTAGACAAACTTCTTAATCTGAGCCTGTTTCTCCACTTGTTAAATGAGGATTCAGCACCTCAACTGAAAACATGCCATGTAAACATGCCTGACACTTATTAAGGGTTTGATGAATTAGTACAAATATAGTCATATATTTTTTAAAGATTTAATTATTTATGATAGACACAGACACAGGAGGAGGGAGAAGCAGGCTCTATACCGGAAGCCCGACGCGGGACTCGATCCGGGGATTCCAGGATCGCACCCTGGGCCAAAGGCAGGCGCTATAGCACTGAGCCACCCAGGGATCCCCTAGAGTCATATTTTCAATATTAATTTTAACTTTTAAAAATAAAAGGATTAAGAGCTGAGTCAGGCTCCAAGCATGAGGAAACCAATTCTCTTTGCTACTCCTTCCTGAGCTACTTCTACCCCTTCCCAAGACCATGGGATCATGGAGAAAGCTGCAAAGACAGGCCCAGAGAAGTTAGTCACACAGGAACCTTACAGCTTGGGTAAAGGCAAGCTCCTCCTGCTGGGTTTGCCCAACAATGCTACAGCTATCAAAATGTAACTTTTAGAAGAAAGAAGGGGGGGTCCCTGGGTGGCTCATCTGTCAGGGTTTTGAGATCCAGCCCCATTTGCCCCCCTCTCGCCCCCACCCCGTCCTCAGCAGGGAGTCCACTTGAGATCCTCTCCTTCTCCCTCTGCCCCCCAGCCAAATCAATCAATCTTTAAATAAAAAAAAAATGAGATTTTCTTACTGCAGGATTTGCTATTGCCAAGGTGTTTTCATGGCTTGTCATGTTGTTTTAGGTTCATACTAAGGTGGAGGTCGTCCTAAGCCTTTTTGCTCCCTGACCCCAATGCTCCTTTCCTCAAGCCCTCATTCACTGTAGAATGACCTGGCCACATCTGGAAGGAGAAAGCTTTGGCCTACTCTAGCTTAGTTTGCCTACACAATGGAGAACTGCAATCTAAATATTCTACCTGCAACACACAGACCCTGCCACTTATTTTACCACCACTTCCACATACTGGCTCTGAGGAGTTATGTCAGGGCAAGTCCACTTGCTCTTAACCAAAATATTTTTTGTCAATTTATGGTCACCTCGTGCTGTTAACCTACCCACAAAAGGCTGTCTGAAGTATCAGTCTAAGATGGGTTTTTGTTTCAAATGTAAACACTTAATGGTAGTTTCTGTTCCTCACAGACGCAATTCTCTCAGACTGCCCAGCAGGCAGCCTATCTCCCCAGTGGCCCTGAGATGCATGTTAAAAGGATTTTATGACAGGAAATTAATTTCTGATCCGGGTTTCAAGGCCTGAGGCATTCATGTTCTGCAATCTAGGATCTTAGGCCTGGAAAAGAATCCTAGAATGCCAAAATTTTAAGGGACTTTTTAGAAGTAAATATAATCTAGTGATTTTCAAACCATGCTCAAAAGAGCTACTGCCCTCTTGCTTCTCTCCCCCCAATATATATACTCACTCATCCACCTACGCACTCATTCCAGAACTGCCTATCTTTATGCTCTAGGATCTAACAGCAATTTTTCTTCTAAAGAAAACATTTTATAGTTGAAAGGGTTTGAAAATAACTGATTTACTCCAAATCTCTCATTTTTCCAAAGGGAAATTGAAACCCACAGTGGGAAAGTGGCTTGGCTACTTGTCAGAGTAGGTATGTAATAGAGCTGGAACTGGACGGAGTTCTGTTCCATTATTCTTCAGGCTTTGAACCAGCAAAGCAGGTCCTCTTTGCAAAGAGGGAGATGGACGAAGGCAGGAATATGCTCCTGAAATGTAGGAAAGATCCTATATGCTCTGGGCCTTGCCCTAGACCTTCTTTGTTTTTACTCAAGTGGGGTTAGGCAGCTGCCTCTTGTCCCACAGAAGCTGCAGGACCTAAGATCTCTGGCTTTAAACTGGGATGAGCTACCTGCCTGATAGTAAGCTAGTTAAGAGTAATTATAGAAGAACATATACATGTAAAATGAAGATATAATACCCATCTCTTAAAACTAAAAAGAGAGGATTCCTGGGCAGCCCCAGTGGCTCAGCGGTTTAGCGCCGCCTTCAGTCCAGGGTGTGATCCTGGAGACCCGGGATTGAGTCCCACATCGGGCTCCCTGGAGCCTGCTCCTCCCTCTGCCTGTGTCTCTGTCTCTCATGAGTGAATAAATAAAATCTTAAAAAAAAAAAAAAAGATTCCTGTAAGTCCTCATTTATGTGCATGAATGTGAATAAAAGGCCTTTCTTTAAGAACAGCTGAAGTCCAGAGGCCAGAATCATGAAGGGACAACCTTTCAGTTCTTACCTCTTGGTGCCTGGCAGCAGGATGAGGCAGAGGGTGCCTGGGCCCAGGCTGTGGTAGAGCTTTCCTATCTTCCGGCCCCAGCGCCAGGCTGCTATCTTTGGGTGGTCCACCTTCAGAGCCTAGGATCAAAGCCATATATTGACACTCAGCCAGAGTATCATCTGCTCACCTTTGGAGGGGCTGCAACTTTCTTCCTCAGACTGTAGGACCATGGGATCCCAGGAAAAGTTCTGTAAAAATCCTCCATCTGAAGCTAAAGCCCCTACCTTCAAGGTTCCCTGTCCATCCCAGCATCTCCAGGCCACAGGTAAGTTTTAGGAGTAAGTTGTTCTTTCTTTCATATGGATTGGGTCTTCCAGGGCCCCTTGGCAGAGGAACCACATTACTAATGGCCCCTGTCACTTAAGTATCTTTGTGACCTGGGCAAGTCACTCAACCAGTTCTGGCCTGTATTTCTCATCTGTTAAGTGGGAGATTAGACTAGGACAGTTTCCCAAACTTCAGCCATTCACCTTCTACCTTCACCCTTCTTTTTGTGTATCCCTCTAATATTTTTCTTTAAAGTGAGTCAAGTTTCTTCCTTCACCTCACTGAAATATCTATGAAGTCACAGGTTCAATGTGATTGTTGTGTAAGTATTAGAACAACAAGATCTTAACCTAAAAGTAGGGGGGAAAAGTCCATCCAGGACCACTAAAAATCATCTTGTGTATGTACTAAACTTTGGGAAACACTAGATTACTGAAGGCTTGCCCAGCCCTTTAACCTCCTATGTTAGTCCCTCAACTTCCCTTGGAGAGCCACCTGAAGGATTAAAAGCCTGATGGTAGCAGGTATGGAATGGATAAAAGCATAAGATCTTGGAGAAAGAAAAAGGTGTCTAGGGCTAGAAGAAGCTGGAGTGTGAAATAAAACTAGTGCCACGGCAGAAAAAAGATCAAAGGCTTGAGTGTCACTTGAGCTGGACTCTCCTAACTTCTATAAACATCAGAAGGAAAATCAATAGTTAGAGCCAGCCAACCAAGGTAGCTACCTCTAATGCCAGGATACACTCACTCACTCACCTGTAAGGCCTGCTGCTCAGAGGGGGGAGGTATGACACGAATCCCCGGGGGCCTTCTTGATTCAGGAGGTAAGCCCCTGAGCCAAGCATGGAGATGCCTGGGGGTTAGGGCGTGCCGGCCTTTCAGCTTCCAGTCCTTGCCTTTAAGAATGTTGAGGGCCCTCTTGGCAGTGCCAAAATTTTTGAATTCTGAAAGCAAGAATAGCCCCTTCTGTTATTAAGGGCCACAAAGCCTGGTCACCGCGGTCACCATTGAGGCTGGAGGTCAGCCAAGGCCAAAGGAGGACAGAATCAGCTGTTAACCCAGTCAATCACCCCAGGTGGGCTTATGTGGTGAACATGTAGACTTACTCAGGAAACAGTATCTTTTTTGCTTTCCGCTTTTAAGATCTTTAGGCAAGATCACAGCTTCCAGGCCAAGGAAGAGGTTGGACTGCTGCAAGAGATGTTCTTTGAAGGTTTCACTCACTCCAGACAGGTATATAGTACCTCGGTTTTCAGAATCTTGTTCTAGCTCGTTCACAAGAGTGTTACAGTCAAGGGTGAGCTCTGTCACAGGTCTCTGCACCTAACCAAGGAAGATGGCATTAGTGGTAGAAAGTCACACTTAGGGGCACCTCAGTGGTGCAGTTAGTGAAGCCTTCAATTCTTGGTTTCACCTTGGTCATGATCTCAGGGTCATGAGATCAAGCCCTGCATTGGGCTCCACGCTCAGCACAGAGTCTGCTTAGGACTCTCTCCCTCTCCCCCTCTGCCCCTCCCCTCCTCCTTGGTCTCCTCTTCTCTCTCAAAATAATAAATAAAATCTTACAAAAGAAAAGAAGGTCACCACTTCAACCTTTAGGCCTATTATATACTAGCAAGTAATTCTGCAGTTTCTGTATAAGGGGGTTAATGACAGATGCCTCAGAGAACTATGGTAAACACTTAATAAATACTTAAATATAAACCTTTTTATGTAAGCATACTATCTCCTCCCTTTCCTCCCCACCAAAACACCCTGCAATGGAAATGAATTCCCTGATTTTTACCGCAATGAGACTGATTATTTGCAATAAGAAACTTCAAAACACCATTTGATCCCCTTGAAAGCTAAAGGAAAGGGCTGCTACAGAAAAACACCCCAAATAAACCATCTGGGGTCTAAGTAGTGATAAAGAATACAAGGAAGACCCCAATGCAGCCCAGGCTGATTCTGACAAAATTAAAGCTGTTGTGTTTTAGGTCACTGCTAGAAGAATGCTGGGCTTGACTTGAAGACTTCCCATGATACAAAGTCTTGTGCTCAAGAGTCTTGAAGGCTCTTTATTATATACTAGAGCACTATAAATACAGGCTGTGCAGGGTAAGGGCTGAAGGGTGTTGCTTTTTGCTTTCTCTGGCCACTCTACCTTGATGCAGGCACCTTCTACCAGAACGCCATCCAAGGATTCTATGGCCAGCTGAGCAGCTTCCAGGACTTCATATTGTATACAGAGATGTGGCTGCAGAAAAAAACAAGATTTTCTTATTCCTGCTTTCCAGGCTCAAACTGCTAGAGAAGAGACTGGGAAAGGGCCCTAAACTAGTGGCTAAAGCCACCAGAATGAAATGTTCTCTTTGCTGTGCTAAGCCAGACAGCAACTGCAGATCAACTTTTAAGTAATCACCAAAGTTCAAGAACTGATTTCTCAGGCAGTAAATAACCTTTGTCAATTAAAGTTTAAGTCTTCTCTCCATGGGTGGTATGGGCAAAGCACTAATAAATCTTTACTAATCAACTTGCTTTTCATATTTATTATGAACCACTGAATTCATCAGTGCAAGTCATTCAGATTCTCATTTGTTGTTAGCTTAATTTCACACAGGCAACTTTCCTGTAAGTTTGGGAGGTTAAATGCTTCCATTGGATAGGCTGCATCTTTAAACTGACTGCTTTTCTGCTTGATGATGAGAGGTGCTGCATCATCACTGAGATAAAAGTGCTCCCAGAGAAAAGCTTCATGATACTGGATTTGGCAAGGATTTCCTGAATACCAAAAGCAGGGGTAACATAAGACAAAATGGACTTTATCAGAATTAAAAAGTATTATCAAAGGACACTTTCAACAGTGTCAAAAAGCAATCCTATGAATAGAAGAAAATACTTGCAAATCACATATCTAATGAAGATTTCATATCTAAAACTCCTAAAACAACAACAAAAAAATCAAATAGCCCAATTAAAAACAGGCAAAGGACCTGAATAGATATTTCTCCAAAGAAGACATACAGTGGCCAATAAGCATACAGTAAGATGCTCAGTATCACTAATTGTTAGGGAGATACAAATCAAAACCATGAGCTACCACTTCACATCCATTAGGATGGCAGGAATGGAGATGGATAAGGAAAAGAAAAGGAGAAAGGAAGAAGAAAAATGGGAGAAAAAAATGTCAGAATACAGAAATTGGAACCCTTGGCATTGCAGGTGGGAGTGTAAAATGCTGTAGCCACTGCAGAAAACAGCATGGCAGTTCCTGAAATTATACATCAAATTACCATTTAACCCAGCAATGGTACTTTTAGGTATATACCCACAAGAATTAAAAAAAGAGACTCCAATGTACATTTGTATTCACAGCAGCATTTTTCAGAATAGCCAAAAAGTAGAAACAATCCAAATGTTCATCAACAGATGAATGGATAAACAAAATACAGTACACATCCACACAATGGAATATTATCCATCCTTGGAATAGCACGAAATTCTGACATGCTACAGCATGGAAGAAACCTGAAGACATTTCACTAAGTGAAATAAAGACACAAAAGATTAAGTACTGTATGATTCTACTTACAGGATGTATAACAGAGTAGTCAAATTCATAAAAACAGACAGCACAATAGTGCTTACCATGCGTGGGGGAGGAGGACTAGAGAGTTGTTCAATGGGTTTCAGGGGATAAAAAAGTTCTAAAGTTCTGGATACATTTCAAGACCCCCAGCAGATGCCTGAAACCACGGATAGTACTGAACCCTCTAAATACTATGTCTCTTCGTATACATATATATCTATGATAAAGTTTAATTTATAAATTAGGCACAGTAAGGGATTAAAACAACAATAACTAATAATAAGGTAATTTTAACAATATACTGTAATAAAGTTAGTGAATGTGGTCTCTATCTCAAAATATTCCCCTTACCCTTCCTTTGATGATGTGAGACAATAAAATGCCTATTTGATAAGATCAAGTAAGGTGAGTGACATATAAAGGCATTGTGAGGTAGTGTTAGGCTATGCTGACCTTCTGATGATATGTCAGAAACAAGATCAACTACTTCTAGACTGTGGGTAACTGAACCCATGGATAAGGGGGTACTACTGTTAATTAGTAACAGAACTGTATATTTTTTAAAAAGTTACAAAGGCAAATTTTATGTATATTTTACCAAAAAAAAAAAAAAGAGAGAGAGAGAGAAAGAAAATCCAAGAATTACAGCAAGAGATTTTAGTCCCCTGACATATCCTTTCCATCCCTTAGGTCTGTCTTCCCAGGGAATCTTTGTATTTCTTTTTTTTTTTATTAAGGATGTTTTATTTTTTTTTTAATTTTTTATTTATTTATGATAGTCAGAGAGAGAGAGAGGCAGAGACACAGGCAGAGGGAGAAGCAGGCTCCATGCACTGGGAGCCCGATGTGGGATTCGATCCCGGGTCTCCAGGATCGCGCCGGGCCAAAGGCAGGCGCCAAACCGCTGCGCCACCCAGGGATCCCGAATCTTTGTATTTCTATTTTTAGGTACACTAAAGACATTAATAAAAGATTTGGAGAAAGCACATTTTAAACATCCAGGATTCTGTACTTAGATCACTTTGAAAAATGGCAGATTTCTTGATTCTCAAAAGAATCAGAGAGTCTGGCAATGCTGGGTACATATCCTTCTGAATCAAAAGCTGCTCCATCAAAAAGCATGACTCATACTCCAGTTGGTGACAAGCTCATGTCACCAATATCTGTTATGTGAATGGCCCCAGGAGGCACCTGAATTCCCAACACTAACCTAGAGGTGAAAATCTTATCTCATTACCTGATGGGTTTCAAGAACAAGAGTCATTGACCGGATTGGACCAAAGCTCTTAAAAAGCCTCTTCAGAGCCCTGAGGTTGCAATTTTTGCTAAATGGCCCAGCATAAACAGTTGACATCTCTGTCCACTTCATCCTCATCTGTAAGAAAAAAACAGAATGCAGTGAGGAGGTGAATGTGGTAAGAGAATTAAGTCTAATCTAAAGAAAACATGAGTTAAAACATGGGATAATTCTGCTTCAAGTAATTTCTCAACACAAAGCCGAATGTACAAAGATTAGTATATAGATATTTCACAACCACTTTATTTGGAATAGCAAAAACTTATAAAACACATATGATGAAGATAATAGATATATAGTACAATGGAGTACTATACAACCATTAAAAAAGAAGAGAAATAAGATCATGTGCTGACCTGAAAAAATGTATAAGACACACTACTAAATGAAAAAGCTGCCAAATATTATAGTTTGATTCTCTTTTATAAAAATGTATTTTCTAAAATATTAATACATACATAGAAAAAATGTGGAGAAATGCAGAGCAAACTTATTAAAGTATGCAATACATTCTTTAACTCAGGGAGATTATAACTTATAAATAAATCATCTAGTAGAACTCATCTACTTACCCTCTTGTTCATCTCTTCAGTGAGGCTGGGTGAAAAGGGTTCAAAAGAGAACTGGACGATGCTGAAGGGAAACAGGGGAATTTCCACTCTGGCCTGCTCAAGAACCTGCAGAGAATAGCAAACCTGTATGAGACAGGAACCTAATGGCTCTTGGAGGTGAGCTACAATAATATAAACAAGGTTGCCTTTTTATCCATATTAAAAAGCAAAATGGGGCCGACTTTAAGGTCTGAAGAAAATGGTGACACAATACAGTCTCCTAGAAAACAGTAAGGAGAGTAGGTAAAATCATGTAGGACCCAGGCCTTTAGCATCATTAAGAAAAAGAGACTACTAGAACCTTTAAATTACCTCTAAGAAAGAAGTTAAATTCCAGCACAACTCCCACCATCTCATACTGTTAATGCCTGTGAGTAAAGACAGAAAGGAGAGGAGGCTTAAAAGACTCTGGAAAGAAATCAAAAGGCATAGAAGACTTAGATGAAGTACAAACAAAATCACCCCCAGAAAGAAAAAGTACAACTAAATGCCAAAATAATAAGCATAGGTCACAACTGTAATATTTCACAACACTTGACTAGGTAAGAGGTTGGAAGCCTCAGAAAAAATGCTTCTGAGGAAGAATTAGGTATACAGAGAAGAGCTAATACCCCCTTAGAGACACTGTCGGGAAAGAAAAGAAGGAATTAAGGGGGGGAAATGAAGGATATCCTGCAGAAAGATAATAAGAAAATGTCAACTCTCCCAAAAGCATTATAAACTCCTTATTCTTTCCAGCACAGTATCATCTTCAAAATAAGCACTGTTAAAAAAAGAGAGTGTAACATCAGCAATAAGGAACAGAAAGAGCTTCAGGTTCTCACTCTCCTATAGATCCCAAGTTAACAAAATACAGACCAGAATGCCTTTGTGTGTTCTGTGAGAACTCTAGAGGCCAGCTGAGAAGCTATAGCATTTAGACCAACATAAAAACCAAGAAGAGATTCCATCAAAAGGAGGAAAGAAAGGGGATGCCTGGGTGGCTCAGTAGTTGAGTGTCTGCCTCAGGGCGTGATCCTGGAGTCCCAGGATTGAGTCCCGCATCAGGCTTCCTGCATGGAGCCCGCTTCTCCCTTTGCCTCTCTCTCTTTCTCTCTCTCTCTGTCTCTCATGAATAAATAAATAAAATCTTTTAAAAAAAAAAGGAGAAAGAAAATCTGTAGTGTTTTCCTTTCTTTTTTTGTGTGTGTAGTGTTTTCCATGCCAATTCATACCTCCCCCGCATTCAACCTCATACAGTGCAACCCAAAAGAAACTTTCCAAATCGAGGATTATCCCTTGGACAGAAACATGAATAGACCTTGCACTCAACATTTTGACTCGTCTTGAGGCTGCCTCCGGGACTAGTTTTGTCTCACTTGACTCAAAGCACTGATGGTACTGGCAGCATTATTTGGGAACAACTTAGAAGGAGTGAGGTCAGCAAGGTCATGGACTAGGAAGGTTCAGGCCCTCATTCTTCCACAAACACCAAGTTAACAACAACAAAGAGACCAGAATACCTTTGCAAGAACTCTAAGGACCAATTGAGAAGCAATAGCACCAAGACCAACAAAAAACCCAAGGGATTTCAGCAAAAGGGAAAGGAAAATATGCAGAATTTTGTGTGCCCACCTATGTTCCTCCTCTATCCTTCCTATAACTAGAGGTCCTCCCTCTGGATGGAAACAAAAAAGTGGACTCTGCATCCAATATTATGGCTAGTCTGAGGCTGCCTGAGAGACTAGTTTCTATCTCACCTGACTAGAGCACTAATGGAACTGGCAGCCTTGTTTGGAAGCCACTGAAAACAAATGCGATTATCATAGCACATTAGAGCTGCAGTTCCACAGCCAAATGCCAAAGGAAGCAAGAGATTATGAGCACTGAGAAGAAACAGACAAGCTCCTTAAGGAATCTAAACACACAGGCTCAGAGAAGAAACATCCTCAAATTGGTGAGAGAGGTCCTGGAACCTCTCTAGCTAATCAGTAAAAGTCTTCTGTACCATGATGCCAGGCCTTAACAGTGGGACAGGTAGTTGGTTTTTTTCCCCCAAATGACTAGGTCTTAATAAAAAAGATCACAAGGCATACAAAGAAATAGGGAAAAATGGCCCAAAGTAATAAAATAAAATTCCAGAAACCAAAACTAAAGTAACACAGAATGAACTAAAAGAGAACAAAGACAATTAATGGAATCAGGAAAATGACACATGAACAAAATGGGGTTCAACATCATATCTGATCTGGAAGAAGAAAGAGCAAACATGAAGACAGATCATTTAAAATCATCAATCAGAGTAGAATGAAAAAAGAATGAGGAAACGTAAATAGATCCTAAGATGGGACAATGTCAAGACCAATATACATATAATGGGATCCTAGAAGAAGAGAGAAAGAGGAAGAGAGCTTATTTGAAGTAACAATGACTAAAAACTTCTCAAATCTGAGGAAAGAAATGAACATGGAAATTCAAGAAGCTCAAAGAACTTGAACCAGGATAAATACAGTAAATCTAAAGAAGCTCACATAAAGAAGACACATTACAACCAAACTGTCAAAAGTCAAAATCAAGAATAGAATCTTGAGAGCATCAAGAGAAAAGCAACTCATTACATACAAGGGAATTTCCTTAAAATTATCAGCGGACTTCTCAGCAGAAATCTTTGCAGGCCAGAAGAGTGGTGTGATATATTCAAAGTGTTAAAGAGAAAAACAAAACAGAACAAAATAACATCAAGAATACTGTAACTTGCAGAACTCTGCTTCAAAAATGAAGGAGAAATTAAGATTTTCCCAGATTAAAAAAAAAAAAAAGCTGACAAAATTCATTACAATTAGACCTTATCTGCAGGAAATGCTAACAGGAGTTCTTCAAGAGGAAAGAACAGTAGATAGCAACATGAAGCCACATGAAAACAAAGTTTTCAGTCAAGGCAAACACATGAACCAATGTTGTAACCTCTATTAAGGAAATTTTGGTGTGTAAATTCACTTTTAATTCTTCAAAATTTAAATGACAAAACCAAATATTTCCCATGTTAATGAATATACATCTATATAGATGTGATTGAGTATTAAATATTTATTCACTATCAAAATCTAATTTACTAGTAACTTAAATTTTTTTAACATTTTGAGTATAGCTGTCACACACAATGTTAATTTCAGATATACAACACAATGATTCAACATCTCTATACATTACACCATGCTCACCACTACAAGCATAGCTACCCATCTGTCACCATACAATGCTATTACAGTATCACTGGCTCTATTTCCTGTGCTGTACACCTCTTTTTTTTTTTTTAAAGATTTTATTTATTCATTAGAGACACACACACAGAGAGAGGCAGAGACATAGGCAGAGGGAGAAGTAGGCTCCACACAGGAGCCCAATGTGGGACTCGATCCCAGGACTCCAGGATCATGCCCTGAGCCAAAGGGAGATGCTCAGCCGCTGAGCCACCCAGGCATCTCTGCTGTACCTTTTATATAAAGGTGCAATTTATGACATCAGTAACAAAGTGTGTGTGTTGGAGCTTATAAAAGTAGTTTCTGTATGCAATTGAAATTAAGTTGTTATCAGCTTAAAACAGAATGTTATAACTTTATGTAATTGCAATGATAACTATAAAGAAATTATTTATAGAATGTAATACACAGGACAGCCCCGATGGCCCAGAGGTTTAGTGCCGCCTGCAGCCCAGGCTGTGATCCTGGAGACCCAGGATCGAGTCCCACGTCGGGCTCCCTGCATGGAGCCTGCTTCTCCTTCTGCCTGTGTCTCTGCCTCTCTCTCTGTTTGTCTGTCATGAATAAATAAATAAAATCTTAAAAAAAAAAAAAAAAAGAATACACAAAAAGAAATGAGAAGTATAAAATTATGTCATTACAAAAAAAAATCAATGAAACACAAAGGATAGTAGAGAAAAAAGAGGGACAAAAGCTACATGATATACAGAAAACAAAAGATAAATAGTAAGCCCTTCTAATTTAGTAATCACTTTTAAAAAATACCAACAAACTGAATTCAACAGCATTTTAAAAGGATTATACATCAGGACCTAATGGGATTTATTCCTGGAATGCAAGAACGGTTCAACATATGAAACATCATCCCATGGGGCACCTGGGTGGTTCAGTTGGTTTAAACATCTGCCTTTGGCTCAGGTTGAGATCCCAGGGTCCTGGAGTTGAGCCCCACATCAGGCTCCCAGCTCAGCGGGTTACCTGCTTCTCCCTCTCCCTCTCCCTCTGCCTCTGCCACCTCCTTGCTTGTGCTCTCTCAAATAAATAAATTCTTTTAAAAAAGAAAAAAAGAGAAAAAGAAAAAAGAAAATCATCCCATGTAATATACCACCTTAATGGAAAGGACAAAACCCACAAAATCAGGGCACCTGGGTGGCTTGGTCAGTTTAAGCATCTGTCTTCAGCTCGAGTCATCATCCCGGGGTCCTGGGATCAAGCCCCACATGGGCTCCCTGCTCAGTAAGGAGCCTGCTTCTCTGCCCTTCCCCCAACTTGTGCTTGCTCTAACAAATCTTAAAAACAAAAACACAGGGAAGCCCGGGTGGCTCAGCGGTTCAGCCTTCAGCCCAGGGCATGATCCTGGAAACCCAGGATCGAATCCCACGTCAGGCTCCCTGCATGGAGCCTGCTTCTCCCTCTGTTGTGGCTCTTCCTCTGTCTCTGTTTGTCTGTCATGAATAAATAAAATCTTTAAACAAAACACAGAATCATCTGAATTGATGCAGAAAAAGCATCTGACATGATTCAACACTCTTTCATGATAAAAACACTCAACAAACCAGGAACAGAAGGAACCACCTAACAGAATAAAGGCCATATATGAAAAGCCCACAGCTAATTTTTCAAAGGTGAAGGGTTGAAAGCCTTTTCTTTCTCTAAGACAAGAAACAACGATGCCTGCTCTTGCCACCTCTATTCAACATAGTACTGGGATTCCTAGCCAGAGCAATTAGACAATAAAAAGAAATAAAAGCATCCAAATTGGAAAGAAAAAGGTAAAATTATCTCTGTTCACATATGACACGTAGAAGACTCAAAAGAATCCGCAGA